ACGATGCGATTATGCAAATGAAGTGCAGGGTATTTAAATCCCTGCTTCATTTGCACTTTCGAAGTGCTTTGTTTACATCCCTCTGCTGACAGAGGGGTGCAGTTTAGACGTTGCCTTAGACTAACAAATACATTGTGAGTGTTCATAGGTAAAACCTACCTTAGCAGATGACCTTTGTAGTTAGTTTTTTTTACTGCAATTACTAAATACTAAATTCAAAGGTCATAGTATTCAGTAAAATCTGCAGCATTAACTGTATGTGAGAAAATTACATTACTTTAAATAATGCTCTCAAGAAACCCAGCCTATATTAAAAGAACTTTATTATAGTTGGAAAATCAAAGGTACGAAAGTTAAGAAGTAAAAAATATTGAAGTTGTATGTCTGTCTTGGACTGGAGCATGCTCACTTGTAGTCTGGAGATCATGTATGCATAGTCCAGTGAGAAATAGGAGTGATGATAAGATAGATCATCTTCAGTTTCTCTAATGAGGGAGGGTGTGCACAGTCTGGTCACAAGTACGAATTGGGAGACTTAAATGTGCTCAGTGAGAACAAACATTTTAGAGATTTTAGATGATACATGCTATCAAGGCCATACTCAGCATGTGTGGACTGTGATTTCTGAAAAACTTATACTTGGATTCTCATGGGATGAAAAAAGGCCCTTCACAAAAAGGCCAACACTTGTCAATTTTATATTCCTGCTCCAAAGCACAAGGGCATTAATCTAAAAAGAAAGCACAAATATTAAAGATTTTAAAATATGGGTAAAACTACTTTCCCCCTGCTGCCATCTCAGAAAAAGCTGAACAATTTTAGATAAAACCTTCCAAAAATGTGTTGTCGAGGCAGACACTCAGCATGGAAGAACATTTCAGTATATGTGGTTAATTAGACAAAAAGTTATAAACCGGTAAACAGGGTTTCATGAGAAGGGTCAGGCAACCATAATAGGTGTTGTCATCAGTCCTATATATTAAGGTAGCATAGGACATTGTTACTTATATACATAGTATTGCTTCTTTTGAGATGATCTACATCCTAGTTTCTCAGATTGAAGGCAGCTATTATGTGTCTGAGGTTCTAGGTTAGTGGTCTCCAAATTGTGAGGTGTGCCCCTCCAGGGATGCATGAAGGAGTGTCTGTGGCTGGGCCTAGTCCAGTTCCCACAAGGAGGTAGGAAGGGAGTGCTATGTGGGCATAGCTGTGGCTCCTGCCCCACTCTTGGCCCTTGCTTCATTCCTGGTCCTGATGCAGTTGCGACTGATTCCAGATTGGAGGTAGGAATTGGATACGTTCTTTTACTCACAAGAGGGGGTTGCAAGTGGAAAAGTTTGGACATCACTCTTCTAGGTGGTGTGCGAAGGTAGAAATTATTGCCTTTTTGGTTAACTTTTAGGCGTTTAGTGCTATGATTACTGAAGTGCTTATATGTTGTCTTGGAAGAATTAGAGTTTTTTTTATTGGCAAATGTCAGTAAGTATTGATTTCACTTCACCCATAAGCTGTTGGGGGAGAGGGGGAATTCCATCTAAAATAATCAGACTCCATGGATAAAATAAGAGAAATTCTGCTTGAGAACTTAATGTTTGATTTAAGGATATTTATTTTGTATATTTTGGCATGTGGTGTTGACAGGTTGTGTTTTAAATGGTTATAAATTGAGAATTCTTGAATCTCAGATCTGTCTTGAAATTTTCTGAGCCCCTCCATAATTTCCTACAACTGTGAATTTAAATAAATAAATAAAAATTGAAACATGCTTAAAACCCATATGTTTTGGGTTATGAAAATTTACATAGAAATAAAGAAAATGCTTAATAATAATTATCAGTATTCATCAAATTATAAAAAGAACTACCAGGTTTAATTAACTGCAAAACATATTCTGAATGTTATATGACCAGAGTACTAGGGATGTTTAAAAATTGTATAACTGGTTAATCGTGTCATCTGCACAATTAATTATAAGAGTTAGCACTGCCGCAGCATGGGTAGCTCCTGGGACCCCGTGCCAGCCCAGCTCCTAAATGACTTTTAGTGCAGAGCCTGCAGTGGGGATAGCTCCTAGGACCCAGTGTGAGCTGGGACTGAGCCAGGCTGCTCAGACTGAGCTTAATATTTATGTAATTTAAAGTATTTTAATAGTTAAACTTAAGCCTTAGTATAAATTGTCAAATGAAATAATTCTAAACTGAGATTTTTGTAAAACATTTTTCTTCTGAATTTTTATCTACTGTGTTCCTATTACTATTATAAAATGCCCGTACAAGCTGCACCCCTCTAGTCCAGAACTCTCTGATCCGGAAACATCCACTGTCCAGAATGATTTTTAGTGAGCCAGATGTCCACTATTCATGGGAGTGGCCAAGTTTAGTGCGATCCCATAAAGCTTGTTTACAGCCACCAGTCCTGGCTCCCAGTGTTCTATGCTGTTGTTTAGCTCTAATTTACCCCTACATGTCCTCTAACAGCCCAGTAAGCCAGGGACGTTTTGGTAATGCTGCTAGACCAAGGGTGGGCAATAATTTTTAATGGCTGGGGGGGGGAGGGGAGGAAGAGCCCTCCAAGATTTTGGCAAGTGGCCAAAGGCCACATTTCTACTGAGGGGGTTTGGGATCTTGGACTGAGGTTGGGTGCATAAGGGATCTTGGGGTAGGAGACTGGGTGCAGGAGAGGGTGTGGAGTTTGGGTGAAGGAGGGGGTTGTGATCTGGTGCAGAGTCCAGGAGAGGATTCTGGCCTGGGGGAGGTCTGTACGAGGGGGTGCAGAGTCTGGGAGGAAGTTGTGACCTGGGGGAAAGGGGTACAGAGAGTTTGGGTGGTGGCCTGGGGCAGGTAGTTGTGGGGGGGACAGGCAGAGGGAAGAGAGCGGAGGTGCCAGAGGCTGGCTCTGGCTGGGAGGCACTTACCGAGGCAGCTGCCAGTCAGCAGCCCTGCAGGATCCTGAAGGCTGTAGTCCACCTGGCTCTGCTTCAGGCTGGGTGAAGGAGTAAGGGAGGGCAGTGAGGGAGGAGGCTTCATCGGCCTGCCACCAGCAAAATATCTCAGCTGCTATTGGTCAGAAACTGGCCAGTAGGTGCTGAGAGATTTTGCTGAGGGGCAGGACAAAGTACAAAGCCTCCCTCCTTGCTCCCAGAATAAAGTAGCCACGTTCAAAGTGGCTGACACTGCACTGCACTTAAAGGTCCCAGCGAGGCAGCCACGGGCCAGATCCAGTGGCTTGGTGGACCGGATCCGGCCGCCCCTGTGCTATATAATATTGACTTCCCGAGGTATGGAAAATTCTGTGATTTGGAACCAGTCAATTGTCATGCTGAGGAATTTGATTGATGTAAACAGTACAAAGCTATTTGTTCAAAGAAAAGTTAATGACACTGATTCATAATTGAAGTTACTCTATACACATCACTAATTTAGTGGAAAAAAAAGTCCATGTAGAATAGGCATATGTACTATTAGTCAGAAATAGTAAAACAAACCCACAGTTTTTGAGAAGCATGCTTTAGCCTTTCGCATAATTATTTCATGATTCTAAATTTTTTTTTCCAGAAAAGTGCTCTAGTTTTTTTTTAACTTTGAAAACTACAGTATCTTTGGCATCCATTAGAAATGATTGCTTAAATTCTAAGTAATTACATTTTGCACATTCATTTAAATCTCATAATAAACCTAAAATTCAAATATTAATATTAATCAGAGCAATAGATTAGATTTAAATGCAGCTTGGATATCTCTGTAGTCCAAATTGATGGTCAACTGATTTGAACCTGAACAATTCTGAGCTATATGATTAGAATATTTTAAATTTGTTGTTAGCAATTAATCACTAAGGTGGGATGAGTCCTTGTGTTAGTGGAAATCTGAGTTTCAGCAGTATTAGTCAAGTTTGAGGATTACTAATTAGTGACAGAGGAACCAAAAGTAAAGGAGTGTGTAAGCTGGTCTACCTATATGAAAAAGGTTTACCTATTGTTTCATATTCACCACTTTGATTGTATGTCTGTGGAAGTGTAGACTCTTCTCAAATCTTGAAAAGTTACTGTCATTAAATTATACCCTATGACATATAATCACTTGAAGTATACACATTACATAATTTAAATATCTTTTATATAACATGTAGTGTAGTGCCTTAAGATTTTTCTTCATTTTTTTCTTTTTTTAGCAAATCATAGACTATAGTATTTTCAGAAGACTCCAAAGGTTTCCTTTTGAAATCTTTACCTTTTACACAGTAACAATATGTCCAATATTTTGATCTCTAGTCGTTTTATTCATGGATTGAATGATGTTTTCTGCTGCAAGAAATAAGGAGAAATAATGACAAGTTTTCTCATTTCATAGATTGCTTTTTTGAGTTCTGTAGGCAGGTATTTGCAGGTGGGGATATTTGTGAATGCAATTCATTCTGGCTATATTTGGCGCGCAACAGGCTCTGTCCATTTTTATTTAGATTTACCTATATGCCAAGTAATTTTGGGATCTGCTCAGAAAGAAAGCTCATTGAATTGGAGTTTTCTACTTAAGGGAGTCTCAGAAGTAATATTGAGTTGACGTATCTCCAGCTTTATCTTTTTAGTAGCAACTTTCTTTTGTAAGAGCTGAAGGTCAGGTGTGTGCTATTATTTGAACCAGTTCTAATGCTGCTAGTTGTGCACTTGTTTTGGGGGGTCAGTCTGCTCTTTGAGTGACTTGGTCTAAAGAGGGCTGCAAAGATATTTTTATTTGAGCCAATTTTGATGCTGCTGTTCTTGTGCTTTCCATTGCAGTCAATCTGCCCTTTGAATTAATTGGCCGAAGGAGGACTGCAGAGAGATTTGACTGCTGAAAGTGTGTTATCCAGTACTAAGAGGAAAATTGTTAATTTCTTTTATGATCAACATTGGTTGAAATAAGGATCTGAAATGATGACAGTCTTTTCGGACACATTGGTCAACTCAGTAATGCTCAAATTATACATCACACATACTAACTTTTGTTTTTTCTTCTTTTTAGCTGGTTGGTGGAGAGTTTGATCTAGAGATGAACTTTATAATCCAGGATGCGGAGAGCATAACGTGCATGTCGGAGCTTTTAGAACACTGTGATGTAACATGCCAAGCAGAAATCTGGAGTATGTTCACAGCCATTCTGCGTAAAAGTGTCCGTAATTTACAGACCAGCACGGAAGTTGGCTTAATTGAACAGGTACTGCTGAAGATGAGTACGGTGGACGACATGATTGCAGGTATAAATTACTGACTGACATGTATAACGGTACTGTTTTTGGACATTCAAGTATTGCAAGCATAGTAATTATTTATATTTCACAAGCAGTAAATTATTTGATTAGTATTGATACGTAGTCAAGTTCTAAATCAACTTTTATGGGCAAAGATTGTAAAATACTCTGTTTCTTAGAATGAATGTTGAAATAGTTCATTTAGCATGCCCGGTCTTTTTAAAATGAAAATAGATTACAGCCTGATCTTAGTGATTAAAATAAGACCACTTTCAACGTCTCATAAGAGCATCTGACACTTATTCTCAGTTTCTCAAAAAATTAATTGCTATGAATTATACAAATTGAACCATTATTATGACCTTTTTAAATAGTAAAGAATACATTATTCTTTATGATAAACCCAAGAACACTAGAAATGTTCATATTCATTGAATATTACATTAAGCTGTATTGAGCATTTTTGTACTTCAGTCTTTCCTTTCCTTTTAAAATATCTGGTCTTTATAGCCTCTTTTGAAACTTTGTCAGGTGTCTCATCCGTTTTTAATCTTTTCTTTGAGTATTCCCTATGTTTCCTTCTACTAAAATATAGCATGCTTTATTGGCATATATATGAGAACTTGTGAGTCTTGGATTACAGAAGAGGTTGCCTGTGTGAGGCTTCCAGTTTATTCATACCCTCAGTATCTGGAGATAATTCTGTTTTCTTAGTTGAAAGCAATCATTGGTTAGAAGGGGTAGGATAAGTTTACACTTTTAGAATGTGATTAGTATGATTTGCAGAACTAATTTTTCACTCACTACAGTTGTTGGGGAAGTTCAGGAGAAATTCAGAGCGCCATTTTCATCAGAGGAAGGTTTTGATCTAAGTACGTTAGAGTGGTGCACCTGACCAAAAAAGTGAATTTTTGAAGGATTGAAGAGTTCTTCTTTCCATTAATTCTAGCTGTTACACATATACATTGTTATTTTTAATACCCAAGTTTATGTTGGCTGCTTTACAGAGAAGTAAAAGTATGGTACCAGTGAACAGGAAATTTGAGTCTAAATTTAGATGGGAGTTCATAAGCAAGAAAGCTTATAATCAAGAGAGAAATTAGGGAAAGTATGATGGTTACAGTAGTGTCCAAATGTGTTTATTGAGAGTTGTGCATCTTGGGTGGGGGGTTTGTAAATATAAAATTATATGTAATACTATATTTTTATAAATCATCCGATTCAGCCTGTTCCAAGTAAATGGTTTTGGGAGGTGCTTAGCACATTTTGGGTACTTGTAAGTATGTTTTAAAATTGTAAATCACTTGCTTTTTTTCAATCCGTTGATGACCCTTGTACTCTGTGGTGTGAAGAACCACAAACTCAAGCAGTAGCTTATCAATATAGTCACACAACCAAAGATGTGACTTATCAATACAGTCACGCAGCCATTAAATATACCCTGTGACCAACCTTTCAAAGAGTTAAAAGGGTACATAAGGAAAAGGGTAATCAAGTTCCACCTGTAAAGGGCATTATATAGTAAAAACTCAATTTTTTATTTCTAGCCTGAAACATTGGGAAAAAACAGTGCAAAAAGTGTAACATATGTTAAAAAACCCTGCTCCAGTAAGAAAGCAAAAAGCCATTAAGTTCACCATGTTCCAAATGGTCTCAAGGGTAACTCTGAAGCACATTAAACTATGGTGATGCCAACATCATAGGGATAGAATGGAAATTGCCTAAGAATAACTGCTGATGGCAAAAGTCAATGCAATGTTTTGGATCTAGAAACAGATGGGAGTCAAAAGACTCATGAGGTTGTAAATGCTAATGAAAGGCTGGCATCCTTCATCAATAAAGGGAGTGAACTTCTACTCAATTTTTCTAAGAATGCATTTTCCTTCTTATTAGCATCATCTCAGAGTTTTTGAGAGAGGACTCAGGCAAGTTTTTTTCACTCTGTTCCTATGAAAGTAGGAGAGAGAAAACTACAGATCTGATTAAAAGACAAGAGTATCACAGTTTTGATGTCACTGCAGTTTGGAATGTACCACTCACTAATAAAACCTCTGCATATGTGCTGTTCAACAGAATTTGAGAGAGATGTATGCATGGATGAGACACCTTTCAGACCTCGGAAAGGGAGGAATAGAGACCACAATTAATTTCTTTGCTTCCTCTCCAGCTTTTGCAGATATACCACTACCACTTCATGATCAGTGATGGCATTGACTACTAACACCCACCAAGTTAATTAAAATGGGTACCTTATAGCTGATCATAACCACAAGAATACTGCCTTACAATAACTAATGCCCTGTGCTTTACTCAGGCCCAAAGCTAACTTGACTGATGTAGGGATCAAGGATGACAGGATGACTCAAGATGGTGCTAGAGGTGCATTGCTACCACCATTCCTATCTGCTTTCCCAAACTGGTCAGGTGAAAAATGTGATGGTGTAGTAATTGTTTGTTTCCAAGCATGCAGTAAGGATCTTTTGAACTAGGACCAAGCCACTGCTTAGTTCTAGGAAGCTGATACAGCTCTCTTCGAAAAAGTCACATTTGCCAGTGATGGGCCTAATATTTCCTAGCTGGTATTTTATCGTCTATAAAGTACATGTATCCTTGCAGCTTTTTAACTATGGCACTCTCTCAGTACTTCCTGAAATGCTGTGATCAAAGTTAGGTGTAAATCAAGTAGAAAACATTACTGTCTGAACATGGCATAATGTAGATAATCTACAGTAAGTCCCAGTTCACATGCTCAATACACAGAGGAAAAGCTGACTGCATCTGAGTGGAGGCAGTTCAGATACCTGAGACAGCCATCTATTTGAAGCATTTCATTTTACAGATGCTATGGAAGAGGAAATAATATCTTAATCTTTGACAGCTTCTGCATGGGAAAACATTTCTCTGCCATCAGTTGCATTCAAATGTGGGACAACTGCCATTGGTATATGTCTCCTTCCTGGAAACTTTGTATAGAATTCTGAATTAGTTTGAGGATTATACTACAGAAAAGGATGTTGAGCCATCTTATCAGTGGTTGAGGGCAAAAAATTACTATAACAATTAGATAGATTACTGGAAGATAGTTTAATAGCTATAAACTTCAGAGCACTCTGGAAATAGAGATCCTCAAATTTTAGGGTAAGAACTAATGAAACAAGTCTTATGATCCAGCAGTTTCCATAGGTAGTATAATCCCAAATGAGAGAATTTGATGGAACATGAGGTGTCCCCTGCCACCGGTCCTGAGTCAGCTGGCCCTTGCCTCTGGTCTTCTCTACCCCGTACCCTGGGCTGCTATCGGCAGCCGTGATTTTCTAGCCCTGCACTTTTGTGCTTCCCCAGCTCTGTGCTGCTGCGAGTGGCTGACATTCTCCAGCCCCCGACTCGGCACTGCTGCAGGTGGCTGGGCTTCTTCAGCTCCCAATCCTGCACTACCTTAGGCTTCTGGGGTTCTCTAACCCCACGTTGTCACAGTTGGCCAGGTTTTCCTGGCTCCGTGCTGCTTTGGGCAGCTAACATTCTCCAGTCCCCGACGCCATGCTATTGTGGGTAGCCGGCTTCTTTAACTCTGGCTCCATGCTGCCATGGGTGGCCAAGGTTCCCTGGCTTTGCACTGTAATGGGCTGCTAGGGTTCTCCGAGCTGGTCCCAGCACTGCTTTTGGGCTCTGTCTGCACTGCCACTGGCCCTGGATAGGCTCCTGGCACTCCTGACATTAGGCTTCTGGTCCAGGAGCATTCATGCTGAACCACAGATGTTTCTGAACCAGAGAGTACCAGTTTTTAATGGTGCATCCTGTAACAAGATTTTGTTTAAGTTAATTGGTGTTTTCTAGCCTAATTTATCATGCAAACTACAGTTTACAGTTGCCATTTTTCCATCAAGACCCATTTCATCTCCAGGAGCTCAGGTGTTATGCTGCAGGTTGCTAGGTTGCTCAAAAGTTGCTTGAACTGAATTTTGAACACTGATGATATTACTATTTTTAAACAAAAGTTAAACTAAAGCTGTTCCCACCAGTACAGCTATAGGGGCAGCTGGGCTGCTAACAATTCCCTCCACCCTCCGGAAATATATCATTCTGAAAACAATGGAAACATTTGGATCCTTCCCAATTCCTTGGCCAAACTTTAGAACCGGATTGCCTTATCAAATTAAAGTTAAACTTCGTAGCTAGTTGGCAAAGCTTGGTTCCTAAGCTTAAAGATGCCCCACATAGTTCCTTCTCTTAGTTCATCTGCATGAAAGGCATTGGCAACTTCAGAAGTGCCATGTTATCTCTCTTGTCCAGATGCTTTGCTCAATGTTACTTCAGAGACAACTGAGCTATTTTAAAGTTGAAGCTTCTCCATACATGGCTGAATTGGGGTTCTTTCAGTTGTTCTTATAGAGTAAATATAAAATGCAGTTATGGTTGCCAACCCTCCAGGATTGCCCTAGAATTACCAGGAATTAAAAATTCATTCTTTGATTAAAAATATGCAATGTGGTGAAATCTATAGCAATACACCCTTCTAAAATTGGCAGCCCTAAGTAGTTTGATAAATGCATGTGTAGTAGGAGTTACTGTATGTAAAACCTGTTAAATTATTTTTATTAAATGCATTAAAATAAGGAGAAAAGGCTTCTGTCTTCCCTCTGTAAGTTCATTTTTAATGTCTTATTTACAAAATGAGACTAGATACAGGCTAAACCGGTGTGGTATTCTTATGACTTACTGTAACCACTGCTGGGGAGATTTGAATCTGGGACCTCTTGAAGCTTAGTTTTAGAGCTTCTACAACTTAAGCTATAAAGCCAGGTGGTTCTCAGTTTAGATTGTAGAGCTCCCTTGTTCTTATATCTCTAAGTGGTCTAAGTGCCACTACATGGGACAGTGAATCACACTAGGTGTGTGGGTTATATTAGTATGACAGAAAATGACAAGAACCTTGGAAAAACCATGATTTTTTGACTTTGTCATTCTCTCTAGTGAGTGGATTCGTACGGTATATTTACCAAGTATGGATCAATTTTTTCAGATAATACTTGTGGTATGTAAGTCCCAAGATTTATTAATCAAAAACCACAAAAGAAAAAGGTTGAAAAACAAAGAAGTTAATCTAATTCCTTGTAACGGGAGTTTGTAGTAATACCAAAAGAAAGGTGGCCCGAGAGTTTTTGTATTTTAAGGGCATTCTTCTTTTATTTATCACTTAAACATTTCTGGGCTTGAATATTCAGGAGATTCTGCTCCAATGTATGTGGTGACAAAGCGTCTTTAAATTTGAATAAAAACGCTGCAGCCAAGCTCGAGTAAAAGAGGAGTGAGGAAAATAATTTTGATTTTTGTAATAAAACCAGCTTTTTTGAAAAGCTCTGTATTGGCAGTTTGAACAGAAATGTGCAATTTGCCATGGAGAGTGTACCTGGCTATATATGTATTTGATGGTCCAGTGAATATCTGTGTTAATTTTGTAACCATAAGGATTTAAAAAAAATACTCTGCACACTTGTAGTAACTTGAATGGCAAAGAATTTTAAAATTTTATCTGTTCTGTTGGCACTGTAATACCATATGCATCAAATAGTAATAAATTTTGAGGTATATTCTGCCCTCTACAAATACAATTGCACAATTAAAAAAATTTAGAAGGTGGTTAAGGTTGCAAAGTTGAGTACTCAAAAATAAAGGCCAAAATTGATCTCAGTGTCAACTCTGCCTCTTTCTGCATAATTCAGACACAGGGGGTTCTTAATTACCAGCTCAAATATTGTTGTTTCCTCAGGACTTCGGTCATAATCAGGGTTCAGGCTAGATGGTATGCAGTGAATGAGGCTGAACATTGATTGGACATATATGTGGAATCCCATAAGATGAAGAGACCGTATACATTGCTTACAAACTAAAATATTTTTTTGTTTTCCCATAATACTCGCTTCACAAAGATATCCTGGATACCCACTCTCAGAATCATAGGTTTGGAAGAGACCTCTGGAGGTCTAGTCCAACCCCCTCCCCAAAGCAGGACCAACCCTAACTAAATCATTCCAGGCAAGACTTTGTCAAGCTTGGATTTAAACTCCTCTAGGGATGGAGATTCTACCACCTCCTTAGGTAACCCGTTCTAGTGCTTCACCACCCTCCTAGTGAAAAATTTTTTTTCTTCCCCCTAATCCCTACCTCTTTGTTCTGCCATTTGTCACTACTGAGAACATCCTCTCTCCATCCTCTTTGGAATCTGTCTTCAGGTAGATAAAGGCTGCTATCAAAACCCCCCTCACTCTTCTGTAGACTAGACTAAACCAAGCCCAAGCCCTCAGCCTCTCCTCATGAGTCATGTGCTCCAGCCCCCTAATCATTTTGGTTGTCTTCATCTGGACTTCCTCGAGTTTATCCACATCATTTCTGTAATGGGGGTGGGGAGCAGAATGAGATGCAGTACTCCATGTGTTGCCTCACCAGTTTGGAATAAGGGGGAATAATTACTTCTCTATATCTGCTGGCAGTGCTCCTCCTAATACACCTTAATATGCCATTATCCTTGGCTACAAGGGCACACAGTTGACTCACATCCAACTTCTCATCCAGTGTAATCCTGAGGTCCTTTTCTGCTGAACTGCTGCTTAGACAGCTGGTCCCCAGCCTATAACAGTGCTTGGGATTCTTCTGTCCCATGTGTAGGACTCTGCATTTGTCCTTGTTGAACCTCATCAGGTTTCTTTTGGCCCAATCTTCCAATTTGTCTAGGCCACTCTGGATCTTATACCTACCCTCCAACATATCTACCTCTCCCCCTGGCACTCTTGCAATAAACATTTTTTTAAAACCCTCTTAGCTAATTTAAATTTAATCTATAGGCAGGAAAAGTAGAGACATCATTATTATTATTATTTTTAATAACCTGGGAGCATTCAGATCCTATAGTGAAAGTAGCCATGAGTTCCTAGATGGATTTTTTTAAAATTTTTATATGTATTCAGTGACTAAACTTGTACTTCATGAACAATCCACATGCAACCTGTGCACTAAATGAGGTCTCATTCACTGTATTCTCCAGTTTATTCAAGCAGAGCTATCATCTGCTCTTTCAGTGGTACAAATTCAGAGCAAATCCATTGGATTCAATGGATATTCTCATTGCTCATACGGTATTTCAAATACTATTTCAAGTTTCTGTACCTTCCTTCTGAAGTATAAGAGCAGGTTTTTAAGTACATACCACAGTAAGAGTATTTTTAACTGCCCTCAAACTAACACATGACTAAAAAATGTTTAGTCACATTTTCAGAAAAAAATAATTCCTGGATACAAGATATGAAAAATTTCAGCTTAGAAAGTGACTTTGGTATTTAGTAACAACGAAAAAAGGCTAGTTAGAGAAAATGTTTAGGTGTCTCTTAGCTGTAACTGGTCCTATATCCTATGTCTGTAATGAAAAATGTTCTGGTAAACTAACAGGGAAATACGGTTAACTTTCTTAGCATCTCAGAAGCTATATCCCAGGCTGCTTTCTGTCCCCAGACCAGCCATGGAATCAGGACCGTTGTTTTTTGGAGATAAAGGACAATTTTGAATTTTTTTAGAACAAAGAAGGTTATGGCGAAGGAGATATCTGTCTGGTAAATTAGGGTTAGGGAAGAAGCATGTCTAAAACGTTGGCGGATAAGGATCCTAGTTTACCTTAATCTGTTTGGTCTGAATCCTCTGTATATTGGAATATGTTCCTTGAAATTAAAGTAACTTTTTGTATTTTCTCTCTGAAGGCCATAACTTACAGCGCCTTCCTCCTGCTATAGTGATCTCTGTGGACACTAATAGCAATTCTTAGAAATATGGGTTTTTGAGGAAAAGCAAAGAGAGCATGGAAAGAACCAAGATTCCCCAAACCATCCAAATATTTAAAATTAGTGTAAATATTTCATTTTTACATAAGTCTAAAAACTGTTTATTAATCTTGAATGTTACTTCTCTGAAAAGTGAATTTTTTTTCCCTATAACCTATACAGGTTTCTTGGTTTTTGAAATGCTCTAATGGAGGATGTGTCATCTATTAGTCATTATATAGCAATCTTCATCATTTGTAGTGATGAACTTTAGCAGTGCCTCTTTTAACCTCATTGTTTGGCATTGAATCTAAAACTTTCATTTTTGGGTACCAAATTAAAAGAAGAATTCAGAGAAATAAAAATGCAAGATTATATGTACATCTCACACATACTAAATCATACTACAAGATGAATGAGGTAACACCCTAAAATGTGCAAGACAAAGATGATAAACATTCAACAATAGGTTCCTAGCCTATTGTGATAAAACTGCAAACATAAAAGATTGTTTTTGTGTACTTATTTACTGTTTTGTTAAAGTATTATGTGATCATGTGTTTCCTATACAATCATTTATGTGTAACGATAGACCACCTTGAAATCATATTTTGTTATACAATAGTTAAGGAACCAGTCTGAATAAAGCTTACTTTTAATTAAATATTCATGTCCTGCTTGTACTTGCAAATAATTTCTTTGACAAACAGTGTAATTCAAAGTTCAGAATAACTTTATTTTCCTTTGAAGATCTTCTAGTTGATATGTTGGGGGTTCTTGCCAGCTACAGCATCACTGTAAAGGAGTTGAAGCTTTTGTTCAGCATGCTTCGAGGCGAAAATGGAATCTGGGTAAGCTGCGGCCAGATAAAATATTAAGTGTCAGTGCATTAGTGCTTGAGGTTAAAGTAACTTGTCTCTAGAGGCATATGAAATTGAATTTTTATGTTAATTGAATTGTTTAAAAGTTGTGGGTTTTTTTTTTAAGTTTTAGGATTAATTTACTGGTTTCTCTGAATGGTTAATATAGCTACATAATATCATTACTAACTGGTTGCCTTGACATTTCTACAATTCTTCTTTAACAGCCAAGACATGCAGTTAAGCTATTGTCGGTCCTTAATCAGATGCCACAGAGACATGGTCCTGATACCTTTTTCAACTTCCCTGGCTGTAGTGCTGCAGTAAGTTTTTAACCAAAACACTTCTATTTTTGGGAACAATAAAATTGCTTTATTACATGCTTTACTTTATCAGGATTGGAAATCTTTCTTAATAATGAAATGTGGAACATATTACTCAGTATAATTTTCCCAGAATAAGGATAGGCCTTAATGTTTAGCAAGCTTGTCAGTACTGGAATAGCACTGAGGTGACACCAGATCCCAAGGCACTTAATGTCAAAAGTAAAAGGAGATTATTTCTTACATGAGATGTATTGGAAGAGGAGAGGTATGTGGGGAAACTTTTTTTTTTTTTTAAATAGAAAGTTTACAATAATAGTAAATGACTAAAACGAGGCTGATACTACACAGTCAGTTTAAACGTGTGTGTGGGGGGGGTATGTAAACATGCATATACATTTATGATAGTGATTCCCTAGTTCTAAATTTTATCATGTGCCTTTAATTGCCTCACCAGAAATAGTGTCCACTGATTCATCTTACTTGAGACTACCGCTAATATTTTTAAAAAACAGCTTGCCAGACAAATGCTCATTTCCCCCCACCCTAAACTGTGTACTCTGCTTTTCCAACACTCTTTAAAATACATCTTCCTGACTCCCTGGACAAGCAATTTTTAGCTTTGGACAGGGTCAAGGTGGAAAATCCCACGCACCATCATGGCTTAAACTGGAAGTTGCATGTGAGTGGAAAGAGAGAATTCTCAGTAACCAGCAGGATTAAGCACTCACTTCTAACCATAAAAATGTGGTACTTTTATTCAAGTAAAGTAGTTTATACAGGCTTTATGGCACTCTGAGATGTTTAAGTTGGACTAAATGTAACTTAGATATATAACTTGATAGGCAAAAGAATAGGAATAATGATGCCAATAATATTTTTCATAAACTCTTAACATTAGTATGCTATGTATAATACAGAAAAAATAAACATTATGGTGTAGAGTATAAAATTTTTTTGTATAAGATGATCAGTGTAACTCATTTGTGATTCTGAGTGATGCCCAAACCAAATCCCTAATGATAAACACTTTACTCCATGCAGTTGTGTATACTTATTCTCTCTATATATTTGTACATATAGCATTACACATTTTAGATACATATAAATGCTTTATATGTAATATTACCCACAAAAATAGATTAAAAGAACATTTGTAAAGTTGAGCACTCAAATTAGGAAATTCAAGAATTAAGGTAGCATATATGTGTACAATAAAACCTGTGTTATCTGGCATGCTTGGGGATTAGGGCTTTCCGGTTATCTAAAAATTCCGGTTATCTGAGGGTTCCGTCAATCTAGGAAAAAACAATGGATGATAATAGTAAAACTCAAGTTTTTAATATTGGTAGTTTTGTAGCGTGAGGCAGTTAGTCTCACATTTCTGTTTTGAGTTAAAGATGATTAGTACTTCTTCAATAAAAAATTAAGTCAATTGTGGTAAACCAAGCCAGGCCTGTGCGCCTGAAGATGTGACAGTATTGTGACTGAGGGCAATGCCAGTTAACAAAGTTTTCTGGTTAACAGAGTGCCGGATAACAAAGGTTTCACTGTATATGCCTTCTGGATAGTCTTTACTTACTTGATGATTATATACTTTTTCTCCACAAGGGCCCTTTCTCATTCAATGCACAAAGTGGATGCTACTCAATAAATGAGCAGCCAGCTATTAAATATTGTTTTATGCTCCTTATTCAGTATGGCTATGTCGACACAGCAGTACTATTTTGGAATAACTGATGTTATTTCGAAATAACATAGTCCACGTCTACACACAAATAGTTATTTCAACATAGTGTCTAAATAATGTTGAGCTGGAGGACTGCTTACTCTTACTCTCTAACCCTCATTGTACAAGGAGTAAAGGAAGTTGGGGGGGGGGGAGTGCTCTAGTTTGAAATAACTGCTGTGTAGACAGCACCAAAAAATGAAATAAGCTATTTTGAATCAAGCTATGCAATTAATGTAGCTCAAGTTGCGTAGTTTATTTTGAGTTTAGCCATGCCCTTACTGTCCGAAGCCTACATTATTCAGCTGCTCTAAATTTAAGTATGTATTAATTTGCTCTTGGGCTTGGCTATGGTGCTCATCCATATGATGTCTAAGTGGTTCACAAACATTTCACAAAACCTCTGAGTTGAGATGATATCCTGATTTCATAGATGATGAGGTGAGAGAGATGAAGTTCAGAAATATGCACTGATACTGGGAGCCTCGTTTGAAATGTCTAAGAACTGATTTTTCAGTATGTTCAGCATTATATAATCTTTTGTGTGTCCAAACCATGTTTCACACTGACTTTAATTGCAGCTCTAAGAGCTCAGCACTTGCCTAAATTAGGCTCCAAGGTCTCAAGCTCTGCACCCAGAAAATTAGGATCACATAATAAGTGACCATCAATGAAACATTTGATTTAATGGAGTTGCTTAGGAACTGGCTCAGAGGAGCTTCATAACAGAGAGCAGGGAAAGAATCTAGTTCACCAGAGCAGCATTTAACTGTCCCAAACATCCTTTCTCTTTTTGCAAATCTTTACCTCTCTACACATACAATATACCTTCCAATTTTTGCAACAGAAATTGAACAAAACAGCAGTCCTGCGCTCAGCAGCATCTTTCACTGAAGAACCATGATTCGTCCCTAGAGTAGATCCAGTTTGATAACCACATGAGCAGATTTTAAAAAAAGCAAAATGAAAACACATGCACATATCTTCAGAGGGGATGATATTAACACCCTCATTGTTAACAATCAGGGTTAGAACCAAGGGTGAGTTGATTAAAATCACTATAATAGGGCACATCTAGACTACATTTTAATTTTGAAAGAGGATATGCAAATTCCCAGGGAATTCCGATCACTTGTTTGAAAGTGGGTCTCTTGAAAGCAAAAGTCGTCTGGATGCAGTTTGTTCAGACCTACCCCCCTCTCCCCCACTTTTTTGAAAAACTGCTCTTCCTAAAAAAGGTTTACGCGTTTTTTCAAAAAATGTTTTTCTGAAAAAAAGCGTCCAGACTCCTTTCGCTTTTGAACGATCTGCTTCCAAAAAATTCTTTAAAAAAAGATCCTCTTTCGAAATTAAAATGTAGTCTAGATGTACCCTATGTAAAAAACTTCACTTTAAATAAATTTTAATAAACTTTTTTATTTGAACTCAGTTTCTAAAGAGAAGGGTTTTCTCATTGGGTGATGTAAATCACCATATTTTTGTGATTTTTAACTAAATAGAGCCTTCACACTAGATTTTGTACATCTTTTGTTATTTTGGATAGTAAAGCACTATAACTATATGCTTTTATTCAAGCAATGAGTACTTAATATTTCCACGTTCTTATTAATTGTACTTCGTTAGTATGTTATAAAATGATGAATTATATGGTGAACAATATATTGCTTGTATATGAGAAGTACCCTTTGGTCGTCATTTGTGTCGCACTCCATTAAGATATTAACTGTAATTTAATTAAAGACACAAAATAACATGAACATTTTTATTAAGCAAAAGGAGCCCTTCATATATAGTATATGACCTCTTGTGACACGTTATTAAAGCTTGACCTCAAAAGTTAGTTGTATTTTTTCTGAATTAATATTAAATAAAAATATTAAATGAATCAACATGTTGCATAGAATCGCTATGGATAGTAATTACATGCTCCAATAATAAGAAATTAGCAGTAGGGATATATTACCGACCACCTGACCAGGACAGCGATACTGACATTGAAATACTGAAGGAGATTAGAGGGGCTACCAAAATAAAGAATTCTATAATAATGGGGAATTTTAATTATCCCCATATTGACTGGATACATGTCACCTCAGGAAGAGAAGCGGGGAGAAAATTTCTCAATGGCTTAAATGACTGCTTCTTGGAGCAGCTGGTGCAGGAACCCAGAAGAGGAGAGGCAATTCTCGATTTAGTCCTGAGTGGAGTGCAGGATCAGGTCCAGGAAATAACCGTTACCGGACCGCTTGGGAATAGTGACCATAATAACATTTAACATTCCTGTGGTGGGAAGAACACCTCAGTAGTCCAGCACCCTGGCATGTAATTCCATAAAGGAGAATTACACAAAAATGAGGACGTTAGTTTAAACAGAAATTAAAAGGCACAGTGACTAGAGCCAAATCCCTGAAAGCTGCATGGAAACTTTTTAAAGACACCATAATAGAGGCCCAACTTAAATGTATACCCCAAATTAAAAAACATAGCAAGAGACCTAAAAAAGAGTCACCGTGGCTTAACCACCATGTAAAAGAAGCAGTGAGGGACAAAAAGGTATCTTTTAAGAAGTGGAAGTCCAATCCTAGTGAGATAAATAGAAAGGAACAGAAACACTGTCAAATCAAGTGTAAACATGTAATAAGAAAAGCAAAAAAAGATTTTGAGGAACAGCTAGCCAAAAACTCAAAAAGAAATAAAATGTTTTTTAAGTACATTAGAAGCAGGAAGCCTGCTAAAAAACCTATGGGTCCCCTAGATGATCAAGCTATAAAAGGAGCAATCAAGGACGATAAAGCCATTGCGGAGAAACTAAATGATTTCTTTGCTTCAGTCTTCACAGCTGAGGACGTAAACCTATCCTTTAAATCGGCTTCTGTACCTAATGACTGGAAGGTAGCCAATGTGACACCAATATTTAAAAAGGGCTCTAGAGCGATCCTGGCAATTACAGACAGGTAAGTCTAACTTCAGTACCGGGAAAATTAGTCGAAACAATAGTAAAGAATAAAATTGAGGCATGTAGAAGAACATAATTTGTTGGACAAAAGTCAGCATGGTTTCTGTAAAAGGAAATCTTGTTTTACTAATCTATTAGAGTTCTTTGAAGGGGTTAACAAACATGCCGACAAGGGGAATCCAGTAGATATAGTATATTTAGATTTTCAGAAAGCCTTTGACAAGGTCCCTCACCAAAGGCTCTTGTGTAAATTACATGGCCATGGGATAAGAGGGAAGGTCCTTTCTTGGATTGAGAACTGGTTAAAAGACAGGAAACAAAGGGTAGGAATAAATGATACATTTTCAGAATGGAAAGGGGTAACTAGTGGTGTCCCCCAAGGGTCAGTCCTGGGACCAGTTCTTTTCAACTTATTCATAAATGATCTGGAGAATGGGGTAAGCAGTGAGGTGGTAAAATTTGCAGATGATACCAAACTGTTTAGGATAGTCAAGACAGAAGCAGGCTGTGAGGGACTCCAAAAAGATCTCACCAAACTGAGTGACTGGGCAACAAAATGGCAAATGAAATTTAATGTGGATAAGTGTAAAGTAATGCACATCGGGAATAATAACTCCAACTATATGCACAGTATGATGGGGGCTAATTTGTCTACAACAAATCAGGAAAGAGATCTTGGAGTTATTATGGACAGTTCTTCTTCGAGTAGTGTCCCTGTGGGTGCTCCACTGTAGGTGAAGGGTCGCCCTGAGCCACAGATCGGAGCTTTGTAATAGCAGTTTCCCCTGTTGAGCCACGCATGCCCAGGAGGTGTCTCGAGCCCTTCCTGCCTCCTGAGGAGCGCGGCTCAACCCTCTCCCTTTCAGTTCCTCTTTAACCATCCTTGTCAGCGGATGGAGCAGCCAGGAGCTCCCTGTCAGACTGACTTCTTTCCTCTTAGTTATTTAGGCATAGTTAGCTTCCCCTGTTTTATCCAAGTTACTCTTTCCTTGTTTAAAAACAAACTAGAAATAGGAAAAATAGACTTAATTAAATTCCCCCCTTCAGGGGGCTTGAACTTACCTCAGACCGGGACTCCGGTGAACTGGCGTTCTCCCGCTTGTCAAAACGAGAGACATAAAGACATTAAAAAAAAAAAAAGAAGCAAAACCACATAAACTATAACAATAAATATAAATATATTAATTTCAAGAAGGAGAGAGCCCGCAATGTCCGGCTCCTCAGGTTTTAAAATGTGCAGTCAATGCCGGGACCCAATGCCAGCTTCAGATGGTCACTCGTACTGCATTCGTTGTTTGGGGGAGATCCACTCTCCCCACAACTGTACCCACTGCAATTCCCTAACGGTAAGAGCTAGAAAAGACCGTGAGCTCCGCCTCAGAATGATTTTATTTGAAAAAGCTTTACAGCCTGCGGGGGAACAATCTATAGCGCAGCAAGAGCCTCCGCCGCCTTCCAGAAACATTCCGAGAGCGAGACCCTCTCCATCCCGCTCTCTTCCAGCCTCTTCCTCTCCCAAACACAGAGGAGAGGCACTGATCCTCCCACTCCGTGCTGGCATCGGGGCGCTCAACAGCTGAGCGGCCCTGGGAGTGCTCTAAGCAGCCGGCATGGCATGAAAAGCCGGCGCCACTTCAAACCGCGGTGCCGCTTGAAACTGCGGCACCGCTTCCAGCCCCGGTGCCGCTTCAAGCCTCTGCGGTGCCGAAAGCTACACCACGGCTTAAAGCTGCGGTGCCTCTTAAAGTCACGGTACCGCAGCAAAAGGATGGGCAGCTTCCGAAGCCACTGGCACCAGATGATGCTCCGCTGGTCCTGCCACAGCCAGACAAGCAGCCAGATGAGGCTGCTAGGGATCAGCCCAACAAGAGACTGATCCATACAGCAGGCATCATTATCTGTGCCTGCCCTCTACTTCTTACTCTCCTGGGAGGTCTCCATCAAGGCAATCCCCTCCCAGGTTGATATCACTGTTGTCTCTTCACGATGCTCCCCTTCCTGATGATGACCACCGCATGGTCTATTCCTCGCGACATCCATCACCTGGGAAGGCTCGCTCCCACCATTATAGGGCTCTGCCACAACATGGCCCATGGCACCCATACTGGCCTTACCCACCTCCACCTTATCCACCGCAATGGGGACCGTGGGAACACTGGGAGCCATATGGACACCGCTCCCCACCTCGCTCCATCGCATCCCAGAGAAGTTTGCCCCGGCCACAGCCCCTACCTCCAACAAGTTTTTCGGAGGACAAGGCGGAACGAATCTCAGACAATGACTCAGATACTCAGTCAGTAAAAGTCACACACTCTGATGCCCTTGATGCACAACCAGAGGATGCCGTAGTACCATCAAACACTGGAACAATTGATGATCAAAAACAGTTCCAAGAACTATTCAAGAGAGTAGCGACAAGCCAGAATGTCTCCCTGCAAGAGGTGCAGAAGAAACAATACCAATTGCTAAAGAATCTACATCAGACACTACATGGCAAGATTGCCCTACCCATAGACGAAGCAATCATGGAGACCTCAGAAGATCTGTGGAAGACACCTGCATCCATCCAACCAACTAACAGGAAAATTGGCAAAGTACTTTGTCTCCTCAAAAGACAACGACTTTCTCTTCACTCACCCACAACCTAACTCACTAGTCGTGGACTCAGCACAACAACGAGCGAAGCTTCCACAATATAGGACGGGCAATGCAGACAAGGACCACAAAAAGTTGGACTCCTTTGGCAAGAAAATATACTCCTCTTCCACTCTACAACTCAGAATATCAAACTACTCTGCTCTCTTAGCAAATCACGACTTTGGCAACTACTCAAAACTGGGAGAACTAATGGCACATCTCCCCGACTCCAAAAGACCCATCTTAAAATCAGTAGTACATGAGGGCCATATGATTGCCCGCACCGCTTTCCAAACGGGAATGGATGTAGCTGACACTGTAGCCTGAGTTACAGCTACAGCGGAGGTGATGCATAGAGCTTCTGGGCTCCAGTCGTCTGGAGTTCCCCACTAACTCCAGCCGAAAGTGGAAGACTTGCCATTCAACAAGCAAAAGTTATTGGCAGCCACTACGGACGAAATGCTCCACAACAGGAAAAATTCTAAGTCCACACTTGCACGTTAGGTATGTGCACGCCACCCTATAAACGCAGGCGATACACCCCATATAATTCATATAATCGATACCGGTATGGACAATACAATCGACCACAGAGGCCTTATGAAGACACCAGACCAAGACTGCGAGGTCCCAGAAGGCAACCCAACTAAGCCTGCCCACTGGCTACCCAACCATCTAAGCAGCAAATTTGAACATTTGGTCGAGGGCCTGCAAGACCTCCCTCACGATCTAGCACCACCTCAATACGGCCATCTATTCAACCACCGCTTGCGCGCTTTCCTCCCACAGTGGGAATCCATAACAGCGGACCTCTGGGTCCTAGAGATAATTCGAGTGGGCTATACCATCCCTTTTATTTCTATCCCCCTACCCTACCCCCTACCCCATCCCTTTTCAGGGACCACTCTCACAAAACCCTTCTAAATAAGAAATCAATTGGCTCCTCATCATCGGAGCTATAGAAAGGGTTCCCCGAGAGTTCCACGGGAGAGGGTTTTACTCGAACTATTTCTTGACCGAGAAAAGAACGGGGTTGGAGACCTATATTGGATCTCCGCAAACTGAACAAATGTCTCAAGAAACAGCGTTTCAAGATGGTCACTCTCTCCGCAATCATTCCTGCGCTAGATCAAGGGGACTGGTTCGCAGCCCTCGACCTCCAAGATGCCTATTTCCATATAACCATCCTCCCCTCAAACAGATGCTACCTACGCTTTGTGCTCGGTCCAGACCGCTTCCAATACAAGGTTCTTCCCTTCGGCCTCTCATCAGCGCCTATTTCCATATAACCATCCACCCCTCCCACAGATGCTACCTACGCTTTGCGCTCGGTCCAGACCACTTCCAATACAACGTTCTTTCCTTCGGCCTCTCATCAGCTCCGAGGGTGTTCTCGAAAGTACTAGCTGTTGTAGCTGCGTACCTCAGACAGCAGAACGTTATCATATTCCCCTACCTGGATGACTGCCTTCCAAAGGGATCCTCATACGCCGAAACCACCTCTATGATTCATACGACCATGGCCCTCCTCAATCGTCTAGGCCTCCTGATCAACAAAGACAAATCAACGCTGCACCCGGTCCAAGATATAGAGTTCATTGGTGCACGACTGGACTCCGTTACAGCCCGAGCATACCTACCTAGGCAACGTTTCGCAACTATACAGGAAATTATAACCGGGATGCTCACAATGCCTACTACCACAGTACTTACATGCCTCCGACTAATGGGACACATGCCTTCCACCACCTACATAGTCCACCATGCTCGCCTACACTTTCGATGCTTTCAGCTCTGGGTGGCAACCGTTTACATCCCATCACGACACCCTCGAAGCAAGAGAATTACTATCCCACCAAACGTGCTTGCATCCCTACCATGTTGGACCATGCCAAACAATCTTCTGGCAGGGGTTCCATTCCAACAAACCGAACCCACTATCCAAATTACCACGGATGCCTCCCTCCTCGGCTGGGGTGCACATATGGATAGCTGCGAAATTCAGGGCAAGTGGTCCCCAAACGAGACACTCTTGAACATCAACATTCTCGAAATAAGAGCAGTAAAGAATGCTTGCGCACACTTTGCTTCCGACATCGCCAATCATACAGTTCGCATCCTAACAGACGATATTTGCACGATGTTCTACCTAAACCGACAGGGCGGAGCCCGCTCCCTATGCGCGGAAGCTATTCGCCTTTGGAACTCGTGCATCCGCAACCAGGTCACCCTCATAGCATCCTATCTGCCAGGGGTGAACAATACCAGAGAGGACTCCCTCAGTTGAAACTTCACCTTAGACCATGAATGGGAATTACATACAGAGGTCCTAAACTCAGTTTTCCACCAGTGGGCACGGCCATCTATAGACCTCTTCGCTTCGGCCCAGAATTCCAAATGTCCCCAATTCCGCTCACGTGCGGGACTTGGCAAGCATTCTCTGGGGGATGCCTTCCTAATCAAATGGGCAGCCCCCCTACATTACGCCTTCCCCCCCCCCATACCTCTCATCCCAAGAGTCCTACGCAAAATCCTGTGAGACAATGCCCTAGTCATCCTGATTGCCCCATCATGGTCTCGCCAAACCTGGTACCCATACCTTCACAAGCTAGCGGTCCAACCTCTATTATGGATCTTAAAACATCAGGACTGTCAATTTCCTCTCTGAGTACATCTCTCTGCAATAGCAGCATTTCATACCTCAGTGGACGGCTTCTCCATTTTTAACCATCCTATCACGAAGAGGTTCCTCAAAGGACTCCAAAATGTGTACCCACCATACAAGGCCTCACCCTCCCCTTGTGGGACCTAAATCTTGTTTTGGACTACCTGACCAGACCTCCCTTTGAACTGTTGGCAACAATACCACTTCACTTCCTTTTTATGGAAGTCTGCTTCCTCTTAGCCATCACCTCAGTCAGAAAGGTGAGTGAACTTGCAGCACTAATGTTGGAACCCCCTTACACAGTTTTCACAAAGGATACGGTCATACTTAGACCCCACCCGACGTTCCTGCCTAAGGTCTGTACGGAATTTCACGTCAACAAACCGATCGTATTACCTACCCTTTTCCCGAAACCACACTCTTCACAGAGAGATGTCACCCTGCATACTCTGGACATCCGGAGGGCTCTGGCCTTCTTCCTAGAAAGAACAAAACCATTTCGTAAATCTGAAAGACTTTTTATTTCCATCCGCCAATTTCATCACAACGAATCTCAAAATGGATCTTGACATGTATAATTAAGTGCCACTCTCTAGGCAATAGACCGCTACAGCGCCCACCACGAGCGCATTCCACCCGAGCCATGGCTGCCTCTACAGCCTTTCTGGGCAACGTTCCCTTAAAAGACATTTACCGGGCAGCAACATGGTCTTCAGACCATACTTTTGCTAAACACTATTCCATAAATCATGCTGTTGCCTGGAATTAATTATATTCCTAGACTCTTTTAACTAATTCCATACCAAATTCTACACTGTTTCCTCACCTTGTCCAAACTTTTCTTTCAAACTTTCTGTTTATTTTAATAGTTTGCATTTGACAGAGAACTGTCCCATGATTTCTCTTTTTTGCTTCTGCTGCTGCCTGGCAGCATAGTCTCATTCCAAATGAGATGTGCGGTTAATCAGCCAATTCATATCGCTGGTGCTCATTTCTCAAAGGTTCTACTGTAGAAGCTGCTGAACATGCTTCTTGACAGTTAATGGATGGAAAGTATTTCTTCAGTGCCTCATGCTATTTCTTTCTGAATGCAGAACAATGCTGTTTCTTGAACACATATTTTTTATGGAATATTAACACGTTTCCTTTCTCCCACTAGGAATTGGCCAAGCACTTTTCTTGGATTTCTTTTGTTCTTATTATACATAATCTCCTTTTGATAATTCTTGGCCCTGCCAAGCATGAATTTCCCCCTGATTTATTTAATATCTCATTTCAATTGTCATAATTTTCAGTTTCTATTGCTTGCTGTCTGGTTTCCCTTTTTCCCATTTGTTAAATATTTTATCCCCTACTATCTGCTGCTTTCCTTTCACCACTAAACTCTGGTTTTCTCCAAAATTGTCTGTTTCCTCACATTTGGAATCTTGGATTTGTAACAATCCAATACGATTTTCTTCAGTAACTCTTAATTTGTATTCACATTTCTCTATATAATTTTTTCCTCCCAGTCGTGTTTGATGATAATTTGTCAGATTTTTGGAATTAGCTGTTGGAAGGGCTAAGTGTTTATAGGGTAGCAGGTTTAAAACTAATAAAATAAAGTTGTTCTTCACACAGTGTGTAGTCAACCTGTGGAACTCCTTGCCAGAGGAGGCTGTGAAGGCTAGGACTATAATAGAGTTTAAAGAGAAGCTAGATAATTTCATGGAGGTTAGGTCCATAAAAGGCTATTAGCCAGGGGATAAAATGGTGTCCTTGGCCTCTGTTTGTCAGAGGCTGGAGAGAGATGGCAGGAGACAAATCTCTTGATCATTGTCTTCGGTCAACCCTCTCTGGGGCACCTGCTGCTGGCCACTGTCGACAAACAGGCTACTGGGCTAGATGGACCTTTGGTCTGACCCAGTACAGCCATTCTTATGTTCTTATGAATTGTTATACAGAAAAGCAAACTTTAACTCAATTTTTGATACAGGCTCAATCATGGATTCTATATATTTTACTTAAATGTTGTTAGACAATTCAGTATGTTTAGGTCATTCATTTGCAGATGGTTATCCCCTTAAAATAGGTCAGACCAAAGCAGACTGTGAAGAACTTCAAAAGGATCTGAAAACTAGTTGTCTGGGCAACAAAATGGATGATGAATTTCAGTGTTGATAAATGCAAAGTAATGCATATTGGAAAACACAATCCCAGTTGTGTATAAAATGATGGGAACTAATTTGGCTGTTTACCCTTCAAGAAAGCGATCTTGGCATCGTTGTGGATAGTTCTCTGAAAACTCAATGTGCAGCACTGGTCAAAAAAAGTAAACAATGTTGGGCATGATTTAAAGAAAGGATAGAGAATGAGGCACAGAATATCTTATTGCCCCTATATAAATCAATCATATGCCCACATCTTGTATACTGCGTGCAGATATGACCGCCTCATCTATAAAAAAGCTATATTGGCATTTGGGGAAGTTCAGAAAAGAGAAACAAAAATGATTAGTTGTATGGAACAGCTGTCGTATGCGGAGAGATTAATAAAACTGGGACTTTTAGCTTAGAAAAGAAAAGATTAAGGGGGGATAGGGTAATGGTCTAGAAAATCATGGCTGATGCAGAGAAAGTAAATAAGGAAGAGTTACTTATTTGTTCCCATAACACTGGAACTTAAGTGAAATTAATAGGCAGCAGGTTTAAAACAAAAGGAAGTATTTCTTCACACAATGCACAGTCAACCTACGGAACTCCTTGTCAGAGGGTGGTGTTGAGTTCAAGATTATAAAAGGGTTATAGAAAAGCTAGATAAATTCTGATGAATTTATGGAGAATTAGTTAATCAATGTCTATTAGCCAGGATAGACAGAAATGGTGTCCCTAGCCTCTGTTTGTCAGAAGCTGGGAATAGGAGAAAGGGATGGGTCACGTGATGGATCTTCTGTTGGTTCCTCTGAGGCACCTGACATTGGGCACTGTTGGAAGACAGAATACTTAGGTAGATGGGCCTTAAGTCTGGATCAGTGTGGCCATTCTTATAGAATTGTAGAATCAGAGAATATTGGAAGGGACCTTGAGAGGTCATCAAATCCAGTCCCCTGCCCTCTCGGCTGGAGCAAGCACCATCTATATAATTTCTGACCGATGTCTATCTAACCTGCTCTTGGAATCTCCGTCACTGGAGATATCTATACCCTATTCCAGTGCCTAAGCATCCTGATGGAGTTTTTCCTAATGTCCAATCTAAACCTCCTTTGCTGCAATTTGAGCCCATTGCTGCTTGTCCTATTATCAGAGGATAAGGAGAATAATTTTTCACTTTCCTCCTTCTAACACCGCCTTTAGGTACTTGAAAGCTGCTGCCATGTCCCCTTCCAGTCTTCCCTTTTCCAAACTAAAGAAACTAAGTTTTTTCAGTCTTCTCTCATAGCTCATGTTTTCTAGACCTTTAATTATTGTTTGGCTCTTCTCTGGACTTTCTCTAGAGGGAAATAAGACACCTTTGCCAATGGGTTTTTCTCTGTGTTTATTTTTATTGATGAGGTCTCTTGATGAATTTTGAGTAATATGTAGAATAAGACGAAAGGAGCATAAAAGAATGGCAAATATGAATAATGGAAGAATTAGGCAAGATTGTGTGTGTGTGTGTGTGTGTGTGTGTGTGTGTGTGTCTTACACTCGTGCGCATGTGTGCGCGCACACACACACGGCTTGATGAACCATGGTGAGATCTACTCGCCAGCCCCGCATCGCGCATGCGCCAGACTGGCACTGCACATGAGTGCAGCACCAGTGATCGGGCGACCAGCTGAGATCTACTCGCCATGGGTGAGTAGACATAGCGATTTGTCGAGCCCTGTGTGTATGTGTATATAAGTATATATATTCTGCTACCTAATATACAAAATAAAAGGCTAGAATTAAAAAATATCTTGAAAATGTAAAAAATTAAAATCTTGTGGTTATGTATTCAGGTTCTTACTTGGGGACAATTTATAAAAGTGTCAGTGGTTTACTTGAGAGTAAGCACAATACATGGGATTATTTGAAGGATATCTTAGGTTTCTCTCCTGAAGAATTTACAATCTATCTTGTTATATAAATGTGAAACACATATAATTGACTCTCAACTTGTCAAGGCTCAAAAGTGGGACACCATATATGACAGACTTGAAGTATTCATGTTGGGAACCTTTATACTATGTGTGATATATTCTTTTGATACTAATTGTCTAATGTGGAAATAATTTGGAAAAGGCTAGTTTGTCCCTCAGTGATGTGTCCCTGTTTTCAACTGTGGGGTTATGCATGTGCACCATAGTGATAAGTCTTCAGATGTATTATGAGCTTTTTATAAAGAAGATGGTGAACATTTGTTCCCCATATCTAATGAAGTAGGACAAGAAGCAGTGGCCATGGTCTGCAGCAAAGGAGATTTAAGTTAGGCTGTGTCTAGACTGCAAGCATCTTTCGAAAGAGGCTTTTTCGAAAGATACTTTTGAAAAAGCCTCTTTCAAAAAAGAGCGTCTCAGGACTACAACCAGTACTTTCGAAAAAGCAAGCTGCTTTTTCGAAAGAGAGCACCCAGGCAGTCTGGAAGCTTTCTTTTGAAAAAAGCATAGTTTGCATTACATAGCGCCTTTTTTCGAAAGAGCACTTTTGAAAAAGGAGTTCTTCCTTGTAAAATGAGGTTTTCTGTGGTTGAAAAAAACTGCCGTGTTCTTTCGATTTACTTTCGAAAGTACATGGCAGCAGTCTAGACACAGGGCAAGTTTTTTTGAAAAAAGGCCACTTTTCTAAAAAAAAACCCTGTAGTCTAGATACACCCTTAGGTATTAATTTTCCCCCCAACTCTGCAAGAATAGTTAAGCTTTGGTATAGGCTTCCCATAGGGATTGTGGAATTGGAAGTTTCTAAGAAGTGTCTAGCAGACATCTGTCAGGGATGGTCTAGGTATATTTTTGATCATACCTCAGCATGAGGGGCCGGGTTTATGAATTCTTGAGGTCCCCTATATTTCTATGAATTTGTGAATTTTTAACAATAGAATTAAACTTTTATGGCATATTAGGGGCTAAAAAACCTGACACTCTTCAAAATGGAGAAAATTTGAGAGCTGTGCAAATAGCATACTTTTTCTTTTTCTTCTTTTTTTTTGTGTTATGGAAATAACAGGTATTACTCTATTCTTGGTGGTGCTTTTTGGGATAAACAAAAAGAAACACTGCCCTCCCCAAAGTACTTAATACAGTTTCACATCATGCTGTGTCCAATTATAACACTTTTTTATTGTTAGTATGAAATGTTTTTCTTCTCTCCCCTCAAAACAGGCAAATAACTTACTATTCCCCAAGCAAGCAAGTTTATTACATACTAGCTTATGCTTGGAGTTGTGGCAGTTGTTCTAAATCTTTTCTAGGAGGGTGGTTGTGTGATTAACCTATTCGGCTTTTAAGTAGTCCACAAAGTTAATACCCTTTCCATACTTCCTAATCAGGATAGCACAAATGTTAACTTCCTCTACTAGATAACTGAAATGTATTAATCTTTCCCTGCTCAAGGAATCCAAGTTACTCTAGTTTGTTCTATAATACCTATTTGTTCATCGTTGTTCATTCCCTCTTCACACACTCTTCCGTCCCTTTGAAAAATGCACTGATGTGGGACTGTTTTGGAGTGGGCAGAGAGAGAGCCTAGAATAAGTGATAACTTTGGCAAAAAACTAAATAAAACCAGTGTAAAATGTTTGTCTGAGATACTACTTAAAACGATCTTGCCTCGCTTGAAGAAGATAGGTTATTCAGTTTTAGAATTAAATGGACCTATTACCTAGAAGAATATTTCCATGTACTTTTTTGTGTCAAGTACAAAAAGGTGAGACGACATTGTTTGCAGATAGTCATACAGAAGGCTGTTCCCTAATTTCAGTTATCTAAAAATATGCTATATTTCGTTTTGAACAACTCTCTCATATTTGGGACTTTGCCATAATACTCTGTGGTATCATAAACATTTAATTCCAAAAAACCCCCATGAAAGTGTGGCACTTTAGTTATAAGTACCATAATGAGAAAAGAAAGGGTATCTAACTTGTATTAGTGGGTAGGCCCACTGCTCAGTGAGGAGGGAGAAGCAGTAACAGGAAACTTGGAAATGGCAGAGATGCTCAATGACTTCTTTGTTTCGGTCTTCACCGAGAAGTCTGGAGGTGTGCCTAACGTAGTGAATACAAGCAGAGAGAGGGTAAGTTTAGAAGATAGGATACACAAAGAACAAGTTAAAAATCACGTAGGAAAGTTAGATGTCAGCAAGTCACCAGGTCCTGATGAAATGCATCCCAGGATACTCAAGGAGCTGATAGAGGAGGTACCTGAGCCTTTAGCTATGATCTTTGAAAAATCATGGAAGACAGGGGAGATTCCAGAAGACTGGAAAAGGGCAAATATTGTGCCCATCTATAAAAAGGGGAATAAGAACAACCCAGGAAACTACAGACCGGTCAGTTTAACATCTGTCCCAGGGAAGATAATGGAGCAGGTAATTAAGGAAATCATATGCAAACACTTGGAAGGTAATAAAGTGATAGGGAATAGCCAGCATGGGTTTGTGAAGAACAAGTCATGCCAAACTAATCTGATAGCTTTCTTTGATAAGATAACGAGCCTTGTGGATAAGGGAGAAGCGGTGGATGTCATATACCTAGACTTTAGTAAGGCATTTGATACGGTCTCGCATGATATTCTTATTGATAAACTAGGCAAATATAACTTAGATAGGGCCACGATAAGGTGGGTGCATAATTGGCTGGATAACCGTAGTCAGAGAGTTGTTGTTAACGGTGCTAAATCCTGCTGGAAAGGGATAACAAGTGGAGTTCCGCAAGGGTCTGTTTTGGGACCCGTACTGTTCAATATCTTCATCAATGATGTAGATATTGGGATAGAGAGTACGCTTATTAAGTTTGCAGATGATACCAAACTGGGTGGGGTTGCAACTTCTTTGGAGGATAGGGACATAATTCAAAATGACCTTAGCAAGTTAGAGAAATGGTCAGAGGTAAACAGGATGAGGTTTAATAAAGAGAAATGCAAAGTGCTCCACTTAGGAAGGAACAATCAGTTCCATACATACAAGATGGGAAGCGACTGTCTAGGAAGGAGCATGGCAGAAAGGGATCTAGGGGTCATAGTGGACCACAAGTTGAATATGAGTCAACAGTGTGATGCTGTTGCAAAAAAAGCAAATATGATTCTAGGTTGTATCAACAGGTGTGTTGTAAGCAAAACTCGTGAAGTCATTCTGCCGCTCTACTCTGCACTAGTTAGGCCTCAGCTGGAGTACTGTGTCCAGTTCTGGGCGCCACATTTCAAGAAAGATGTGGAGAAATTGGAAAGGGTACAGAGAAGAGCAACAAGAATGATTAAAGGTTTAGAGAACATGACCTATGAAGCCAGGCTTCATGAACTGGGCTTGTTTAGTTTGGAAAAAAGAAGATTAAGGGGGGACATGATAGCGGTTTTCAAATATCTAAAAGGGTGTCACAAGGAGGAAGGAGAAAATTTGTTCCTCTTGGTTTCTGAGGACAGGACAAGGAGTAATGGGCTTAAAGTGCAGCAGGGGAGGTTTAGATTGGACATTAGGAAAAAATTCCTAACTGTCAGGGTGGTCAAATATTGGAATAAATTGCCAAGGGAGGTGGTGGAATCTCCCTCTCTGGAGATATTTAAGAACAGGTTAGATAGACATCTGTCAGGGATGGTGTAGACAGAGCTTGATCCTGCCATTATTTATCGCTATACTGCAGGCCAACTCTTCAGCCAATGACAGCCTTTAAAAATCAAACATTTTTTCAAAAATGCCAGCAGCCATGGCACTGATTAAATCACATCCTTTGAGTTCCACACAGGCCAATCTCTAACATTTGTTTAGTTTTATCCTCATGGCCAGTTACTAAACTTCTCCACTTCAGTATGTAACATCAGGTCAAAGGCCATGAAAATAGCAGTATAGTTTTCAAATCCTTACAGGGCATATTTAAAAAAATTACAATTTGTTGCATCTTTTGTCTTGTCCTCTACCATGAATAATTTGCTCCTGATATTAAATTAAATTGATTTGATTTTTACAGTTTTCAGAATTAAAATTTTAACACCTATTAAAATAATGTATTCTGTTTTCTCCTCAGAATGTTATCTCTTTTGTAATGTAGTCAGAATATAATTTGTTTATTAATATCTTAAGTCCTCAATTGACATAATTTATGTAGTTGGTGAATTTAAAACAAGAAAATTTCAAGAGTAGTTTAACAATAAAGCATTTATAGTACAGTAACTAAAATATTTTGGGCCTTTCATAATAGTAATGTTTGATTAAAACAATGCAAATCCACATTACATACACTAGTACTTTTACTTTTTCCTTTTATGTAGGCAATTGCGTTACCTCCTATTGCTAAGTGGCCTTACCAAAATGGGTTTACTCTTAACACCTGGTTTCGTATGGATCCATTAAACAATATTAATGTAGATAAGGATAAGCCCTATCTCTATTGGTAAGTAACTTATACATATTTGTTTTCCTTATTAAAAAGTTAATTTAAAAATAGTAGATGAAGCTCTTTTTGCCAGCATTTCCACATTTTAATAATTTTTACTTTGTTAGAAACTTCTCTAAGATTGCCTATGCTATTTATTTCCTAATATTTGAAATGCAACAACGCAAGCAATATTCTTTTTATATCAACTATAAGAAACAGGTTAAATCTATGAATGAGAGAAACAGCCTTGGTTTCTTTGAAAGATCTACAGCATGACCAAATTCTCTGCATTACATATTTCATTGTATGTTCTATCTTTCCCTTCTACTTTCTGCTACTATTGTATTTAAACCACAAAGATTGCTTATTTAAGTGTTAGAATGGTCAGAAATATTACACATCTCATTCAGTATGTAGGTCTCCCCCTGCCATATGTACACTCACCACACAAACCCACAAGAAGGCGGCTCCTACAAATATTTTTTTCCTTACTGATCAATCGATCAAATATTACTAAATGCTTAATTTTTCTGCATATTACAGATAACTATAAAAGGGAAGTTCTAATGTTGTTTCCTATCTATCTTCACTTTGCATAGGTTTATAAAATATCAGAAAAATGTAATATTTGATAAATCAGATATAGAAGAGGGCACAATAGATAGATAAAATTAATTTTCTCATCCAGAATGTGATTGGCGTATACCCTAATCTTTTCCTTAAGATCAAGCTATTCCCATCCATCCTACTCTGTGTCTCAAAGAAAGGACTAGTCATCTTGTCTGAACTTGAACACTTGTACAAGCATTTGTTCCCCAAATAATTTTCATGTAGTTTTACTAGCTATGCCCTTATGCATAACAATGTTGCTTATGCTCATTTATCTATCTGCTTGCCTTTCTGGTTCATTGTTAGGCTCAATTTAACATAGGGACTCATGACTTCTACTCAGCTGAATTCTTTTTGAACTAAAAAAGCAATGAGGAGGCCTGTGGCACCTTAAGGACAATCAGATTTATTTGGGCATAAACTTTTGTGGGTAAAAATATACCTGACAAAGTGTTCTTTACCCTTGATAGTTTATGCCCAAATAAATTTGTTAATCTTTAAGGTGCCGCAGGACTCGTTTTTACAGACTGAGACTAATGCAGCTACCTGTCTTTTTTTTTTTTTAAACTGTACACCACGGAGAGGGCTTATCAACCTGATTTTTATTTTGTTCTATCAGCGAGGGATAAACCCACATTCAACACTAATAAGCATGAGTGGGAACACTTAACATGTTTCTTGTATCCCTGTCAGATTCCACTCCTGAGAATAGACTAGGCTTAAGTAGTCTAATTAGAGAATTAAGCCACATCTTGACTTCCTGGAAGATCAGTGCTATGGCAGTTGATCTTCTGCATTCTATTTAGCAGGTCTAGTAAAGACCTGCTAAATTGAACACTGCAGGTTGCCCCTGTCAGCACTAGTACTCGAACTCCTTGCGAAGAGTAAGGGAAGTAGATGGGAGTGTTTCTTGCATTGACTTTCTATTTTTTTTGTCTGTTGCTGGAACTGTGTATCTTGAGCCGACCTTCCCCTGTAGTGTGGACCTGGCCTTAGTTTTTGACTGTGTAAGAATGCTAAGTAACTTATTCAGATGTAGCATTGAGAGGCATCATATACCTCAAAGTTGAAGAATCTTTCAGCTGACCAGTGTGCTCTGGGAATACAATACTTTCTGTGGAGAAAAAATATTTATAGGTATATGTTCAAAGTTAAATTGGAATTATGGGATTAGATTGTTTTGCATTTTATTACTATTATGTACTTTCAGTGTTTAATTAAAATGATCTATTAAAATTTTGTGTGACTGCAATGCCTATATATCCAGGACAACTCTTAAACTAGTTTCTGCCCATTTTTGCTTTGGAAAAGCTTAAAACCTTGGCATGCAATCTGAAAATGTGTTTTCTTTAATATTTCCTTACTAAATGAATTATTATTTTGTCTTAACTATTTTTTATTATACTTTTAATTTCAGTCTTAAAATATATTGCCTTAGATCTCATTCTCAAATATACAGCATGCTAATGACTTTGCTACGGAGAAGTGGCACAATTAAAAATAGTCTAAATAGTAAAATGGGTGAACAAGAGTGCCTAGTTTTAAAGGAGATATTGATAGAATAGGCATCACGGAAACTTGGTAGAATGAGGACAATCAATAGGACAGTCATATCAGGGTACAAAATATATCGGAAGGACAGAACAGGTCATGCTGGTGGAGGAGTGGCACTATACGTGAAAGAAAATGTAGAATAAAAAATATAGAAAGTAAACATTTTAAATGAGCCAAAATGTTCCATAGAATCTCTATGGATAGTAATTCCATGCTCCAATAATAAGAATATAGCAGTAAGGATATATTATTGACCGCCCGATCAGGACATTGATAGTGACTATGAAATGCTAAGGGAGATTAGAGAGGCTATCAAATTAAAAAAACATGGTAATAGTGGGGGATTCAACTATCCCCATATTGACTGGGTACATGTCACCTCAGGACAGGATGCAGGATAAAATTTCTTTATGCCTTAAATGACTTCTTCTTGGAGCAGCTAGTTCTGGAACCCACAAGGGGAGAGGCTATTCTTGATTTAGTCCTAACTAGAGCGCAGAATCTGGTTCAAGAGGTAAATATAATTGGACCACTTGGAAATAGTGAACATAATATAATAAAATTTAACATCTCTGATGTGCTGCTGAGTTGTTTTTCCCAAAACTGTGGCATTTAATTTCAGAAAGGGGAACTACACAAAAATGAGGAAGTTAGGTCAACAAATTAAAAGGTACAGTGACAAAAGTAAAATCTCTTCAAACTGCATGGAAACTTTTCAAAAACAGCATAATAGAGGCCCAACTTAAATGTATACCCCAAATTTAAAAACACAGTAAGAAAACCAGAAAAGTGCCACTGTGGTTTAACAAGTAAAAGAAGCAGTGAAAGATAAAGTGAAAGTCATATCCTAGTGAGGAAAATAGAAGGACCATAAACTTTGTCAAATTAAGTGTAAAAATATAAGAAAAGCCAAAAAGGAGTTTGAAGAACAGCTAGCCAGAAACTTAAAACATTTTACTATTACTTTAAGTACATCAGAAGCTGGAAGCTGGTTAAATAACTAGTGGGGCCTTTGGACGATCGAGATGCAAAAGGAGCACTCAGAGATAATAAAGTCATAGCAGAGAAGCTAAATAAATTCTTTACTTCAGTCTTCACAGCTGAGGATATTGGGGAGATTCCCAAACCTGGACCATTCTTTTTAGGTGACTCATCTGAGGAATTGTCCCAGATTGGGGTATCATTAGAGGAGGTTTTGGATAAACTTAACAGCAGAGATAATAAAGTCATAGCAGAGAAGCTAAATAAATTCTTTACTTCAGTCTTCACAGCTGAGGATATTGGGGAGATTCCCAAACCTGGACCATTCTTTTTAGGTGACTCATCTGAGGAATTGTCCCAGATTGGGGTATCATTAGAGGAGGTTTTGGATAAACTTAACAGTAATAAGTCACCAGGACCAGATGGGTTCTGAAATAACTCAAATGGCAAATTGTGGAACTAAAAACTGGTTTGTAACCTATCCTTTAAATTGGATTCCGTACCTAATGATTGGAAGATAACTAATGTGACACCAATATTTAAAAAGGGCTCTGGAGGTGATCCTGGCAATTACAGATCAGTAAGTCTAACATCATTACCGGGCAAATTATTTGAAATTATAGTAAAGAATAAAATTGTCAAACATAGAAGAACATAATTTGTTGAGCAAAAGTTAACATGGTTTCTGTAAAGGGAAATCATGCCTTACTAATCTGTTAGTTGTTTGAGGGAGTCAACAAACGTGAGGACAAGGAAGTCCAGTGGATATAGTATACTTAGATTTCCAGAAAGCCTTTGACATGGTCCCTTACCAGACCCTCTTATGTAAAGTAAGTTTTCATTGGATGATAACTGGTTAAAAAGGAAGAAAGGGTAGGAATAAATGGTTAGTTTTCAGAGTGGAGAGAGTTAAATAGTGGGGTCCTCCAAGGGTCTGTCCTGAGACCAATCCTATTCAATTTATTTATAAATCTAGAGAAAGGGGTAAACAGTGAGTTGGCAACATTTGCAGATGATACCAAACTGCTCAAAATAGTTAAGACCAAAGCAGACTGTGAAGAGCTTCAAAAAAAACTCACCAAACGAAGTGATTGGGTAACAAACTGGCAAATGAAATTTAATGTTGATAAATGTATCATAATGCATGTTGGAAAAATAATCCCAACTATACATACAATACACTGGGGACTAAATTGGCTAAAACTACTCAAGAGAGACATCTTGGAGTCATTGTGGTTAGTTCTCTGAAAACATCCACTTAAGGGGAAGCTCCTTTCATGATTGATAACTGGTTAAAAGACAGGAAACAAAGGGTAGGAATAAATGTAAGTTTTCGGAGTGGAGAGAGGTAACTAGTGAGGTACCCCAAGGGTCTATCCTGGGACCCATCTTATTCAACTTATTATAAATGATCTAAAGAAAGGGGTAAACAGTGAGGTGACACAATTAGCAGATGATACTAAACTGCTCAAGATAGCTTCAAACAGATCTCACCAAACTAAGTGATTGGGCAATAAAATGGCAAATGAAATTTAATGTTGATAACTGTATCATAATGCATGTTGGAAAAATAATCCCAACTATATATACAATATGATGGGCACTAATTTGGCTACAACTACTCAAGAGAGAGATCTTGGAGTCATTGTGAAGAGTTCTCTGAAAACATCCACTCAGTGTGCAGTGTAGGAGAAAATGCAAATAGAATGATAGAAGGCATTAAAAAAGAGAGAATGACAGAAAATATCTTATTGCCTCTATATAAAACCATGGTACGCCCACATTTTGAATACTGCATGCAGACGTGGTTGCCGCGTCTCAAAAACGATATATTGACATTGGATAAGGTTCAGAAAAGGGCAACAAAAATT